GTGATCTCCAATTTGTTCCCTTGCCATGTCCTATAAAAGAAGGATATAGAAGGGCTTTGGCTCCAAGCAACAGACCAGACCCAGCATCACATCATTGCCAATCCTGTGTCCCCTATTAGGGGAAAAAGCACGGTCACATCAGGAGAGAAATGGGAAATGCTGAAAAGCTGTTGTGTACAAGTAAACCAAGGTTTTTCTCTTCGAGATTTGAGACACATGAATTGTGAATATTCACTGTGAGTGTGGTAGACTACTTCGAATGGGAGCAGGCAGTCAAAAAAACTATATAAAACTAAATAAACTGTGGCTCCCGCGATGTGTTGGAATACAATAAGATTAGAAATACTACTCCTGATCTCCAGACCCCTGCGCCAGGGAGAGGAGGGGCTCCAGTTTGGGCACCACAGAATTGCTTCCTTGCTTTTTGCAGATAATGTGGTTCTGTTGGTTTCATCACACTGTGACCTCCAGCATGACCTGGGGAGGTCTGCTGCCAAGTGTGAAATGGATGAGAGTCAGCACCTCCAAATTTGAGGCCATGGTTCTTTGCTGGCAAATGGTGGGTTGCCCCCTCTGGGTTGGGAAACAATTACTGCCTAAAGCAAAACAGTTAAAGCATCTTGGGGGTGTGTTCACGAGTGAGGGTAAAATGGAGCGTGAGATGGATTGGCAGTTTTGCGCAGCTTCAGTTGTGATGTATGAGATGAAAGGCAAAGCTTTTGATTCACTGGTCCATCTACGCCCAACCCTCACCTTTGGTCATAAGCTTTGAGTAGTGACCAGGGCCTGTATTCACAAAGATTCTCAGAGTCCTCTCAGAGAGCTCCTAACTTAGCCTAAAAATTCCTAGCAAGGAATCTTAGCTTAAGAGTGATTCAGGAAGTTTCTGAGAGCAACTCTGAGCAAGGAGGGGACAGAAACTTTTAGCTTAGTGAGGAGGTGTGGTTGACCCTGTTGCTAGGTATGACGCAGTCTTCTAAAAGCTGTGATTGGTTGTTACAAAGAGGAAAAAAAGAAAAAAAAAAGACAGCGTAATGAATGGACAGTGAAATCAACCGATCATAGAACTTAGACTGTGTTAAGAAATGTGTAATTGTGAAAATAATTTTATGTCATGATGTTAGCTGTCAGCAATTACTGTGATTGCTGGCCTCCTTGTAAAAAGCGGTTTGATTTGGCAGAATGACCAAAACAATGAATGAAATGAAGAAAAAAAGAATGAGAAAGCCGAACTGGACAGAAGAGCAGTGCCTGCTGTTGGCACAGCTTGTGGAGGAGAACAACGGAGCTTTCAGAGGGAAATTCGGTCCCGGGATCACGGCACAAGGGAAGAGGCAGACTTGGGAGCGCATTGCCTCACAAATCAATGCGTCGTTCCCTCTCCTTTTACGCACAAGCAATGAGTGTGAGAAGCGCTGGTACGTGCTGCAGTCCAAAGCGGGCGTTATTGCATTACTACACTGGGTGGGAAAAGTAAGCTCATCCCTGATGAGGTCAACCACAAACATTATCCCTGCACGATCAAGCCGGTAACATCTTATTAAATCACTGTCGTTCAATATACGGAGAATATCTCTCCTTCCTCTCTGTCTTTCCGCCATCTTCTCTGTTTAAGACACTCTTAGGCTTCTTAAAAGTCCTCCTCCCTCCTCTTAACAGTTTTTCACCTTAGGAGCTCTCTTAAGGCCTAAGATGCTTTGTGAATAACTTTTATCTTACCAAGGGAAAATGACGTCACTAAGAGCTACTTTTAGTCTTAGGATTCTTTGTGAATACGGGCCCAGAAGAATAAAATTGTGGATAAAAGCAGCCAAAATGAGTTTCCTTTGTGGGGTCAGCCTTAGAGACAGGTTGAGGAGCTCAGACATCAGGAGAGAGCTCAGGGTAGAGCTATTGCTCCTTCACGTCAAACGGGGCCAGCTGAGGTGGCTCGGGCATCTGATCAGGATGCCTTCTGGGCGCCTCCCATTAGAGGTGTTCCAGGCACATCCAATTTGTAGGATGCCTTGGGGTAGACCCAGAACATGCTGAAGGGATTATATATCTCATTTGGCCTGGGAACGTCTCAGGAACTCCCTGGAGGAGCTGGAAAGTG